CAGGCGCATTACTAAAAGACTAGCAGCTCTATCAAAAACCTCTTCAATCACCTTCATTGCATTTCTCAGCTCGTAGGCATCGTATACAGGCGCCAGCATCAGCAGACCCAGAACAACACTCCTGAAGTTCCCACTCAGCTCTGAGGACAGATCATCAGCCAGGTCCTGAAGGGGGATGGAAACAGATGAATGTTCTTATTGTTTTACAGTTAGTCCTGCATTTATTACTTCTAGCCTGGACTACTGTAATTCAGTATTGTCATGATGTCCTAAAAACCCTCTGAAAAGCCTTCAAATGATTGAAAATGCTGCAGCAAGAATACTGACAGTCTACAAAGAGAGCACATTTCTCCCATATTGGCTCCTTGTCATTGGCTCCCTGTTAAATCCAGAATCAACTTTAAAATCCTTCTCCTCACATACAATGTGTTGAATAATTAGAGTCTAGCTTATGTACTGTATCATCCCGATAGAGCACTTCACTCTCAGGATATTTAAAGTAAACCGGGAGGCAGAGCTTTAAGCTTTCAGGTCTTGCTTCTGTGGAACCAGCTTCCAGTTTGGATGCAGGTCTCTACAGCGTCTCTACTTTTAAGATTAGGTTAAAAACCTCCTTTTTGATAAAGCATGTAGTTATGTTGGAACAGGTGAATCTAATCTTCCCTTAGTTATCCTGCAATAGGACTAGGCTGCTGGACAGCTTTACACAGCTCTTTTCACTCTCTGTTTAATCATTAGGTATTATTAATCTCTTGCCCTCCACAGTGTGTTTTTGTCTTTTTGTCCCTCCCCTCACCCCAAACCGGTCATGGCAGATGGCTGCCCCTCCCTAAACCTGGTTCTGCCCGAGGTTTCTTCCTGTTAAAAGGGAGTTTTCCCTTCCCACTGTTGCCAAGTGGTTGCTTAAAAGTGGGGGGGGGGTCGCATAATTGCTCAGGTTTTCTCCATATTATTATAGGGGCTTTGACTATGGAAGTAGAATATAAATCACCTTGAGATGACTGTTGTTGTGATTTGTCGTGATATAAAAAAAAAACTGAAGTTGAATATTTAAGTGAATTTATTAGGCTGTGTCAGTGTAACAAACACAGACTCTCTACAACATTCACTTGAGTGAAATGGATTTATGTTGACCATGACTTCACTCATTCCAACAGCATTTGGGTCTCCGCTAGAGGGTGTGGTTCTTGGAAAGAGTTTTGGTGAAAAGAGGAGCCTGTTCCACTCACCCCCACCCCCTCCCCATGTGGGTGTCCGCGTGTGCAACATGACTCACTTTTCCTGACTGCAACAACTCCGCTCACTCTGCTGTTCCCATAGTGCCTCTCAGTGAACTTTCAGTTGCTTTTAATGACTTTGTACCAGATGTGCAGTGTGTACAGTGTGCAGGGAGATAAATATTATCTTAATATGTCAATACAATAAAGATCTCAAGCTTCCCGTTTTGTTAATATATTGAGCCCCATAATCAGGAAACAACCAAAGTGACAGTGGGTAACACACCTATGTGGGTTCAGTCTGTGTTTTTTATTGACTCAGACCTTCCTCTTCTAGAAAACTCACAAGCCCCTCTCCGTATTAGCCTTTATTTGCAAGTGTTATTCATTTCTGCTTTGCAGTTAAAGGTTAACTTGCACCTTGTCACTTTACCCCACCTAAAATAAGGACAGTGAGAGTACACAGCGGAGTAAGAGGCAACACACCTGCTGCTACTGCCAACAGCGTTCATCAAACTCATTTATATATTATTACTGTATTTAAGATGCAAAGGCACATCTTCAGTTATGAATGGACTACTTTTGCTGCATCTCACCTTCCCCACTGTTTGTTTGTAGGCAATTTTGATGCGCTGCCTCTGGGCAATAGTACGGTGGGCCAGGATCTCAGTGATAGCTGCCTCATTAGTGCCTGAAAGAAATTTCATAGACTCAGGTTATGTAATCTTAACTGCTGTCAATCTTGAAATAAAAGGACCATATTTATTTCTTTTGCTGGAAATGCATTTAAAAGCATAGGTTTGGTCATTTTATGTAGGCCGTAGAGTCGGGCGACACTGCTGCAGGCCTGGAGATCATCCTAACACAAGGTTGTTTGTTCCCATGGCCATAGAAACCATCTGTTTCCAATGGAGCTCAAACAAGAGTCAGGAGAAGATTATTAGAGTATCAAACCCGAACAGCTTGAACATTCCTCTCCATGAATTTGCTGAATTTGTTAACACTACCAAATGCTGAATGTTAGAGGGGATCTACATAGCACCTACACAGTATCTCCCTGCTTGGCTTTAAAACAGCATAATCCATGACAAAGATAGTCTACTACTACAACCTGCATGATAAGCAAGACTCATTTCCTTCCTTATCAGGAGTGAAAATGTTGCAAAACACAAAGGTTAAAGATTAGTCACTGTCAGAGTAAAAGATTACCAATCAAATGGACTATAAAGGAAACACTATGATACCCCATGACTGCGTGAGCACTGCGCAATGTTGAAATTCGTTTTCAAACTTTCCTTCAGAAGAAGGGCGAGACCAAGGAGAATTTATTTTCTCCATAGAGGGCTAAGGATATCTTTAGCTGATGTTCAGTGGGTGACAATGGTGTTGGATCACTCACCAGCTCCTTTCATGGATTCTCTAAGCTTCTGGGCATCTGCGTCGGGATTAAAATTAGCAGCTTCAGTCACGGTTCCACGGTTTCCGATCTGATTACAAATGACAAAAATACAATTATTAATCTATTAAACAGAAATTAAATAAGTAAACACAAAGCTTAAAGTACAACTCAATCATTTTTCCCATTCATGCCATTTTTAAATAATCTCACTATGTACACGTGAAGGGTTTGACATCAATTTGTTTGAACTAGTTTAACACATCTGTGTAAGAGCCAATTTTAAAGCCAGTATCCATTTCTCAGAAGCTTATCTGCCCATCGCAAATTTTATCTTTTTCAATAAGTAGAAAAATAAAGATATGCAGATGAGCATTTGTAAACATTTTACAGAATTAATTAAAAATATATGTTTAATAAAGTATGTCTGATTATTGATCATTTATGCTAAAGTCAAAGGCATATGTGCTACAATGCATAATTATTCTTCTATTCATGAGTGTTAGATTATTTTACGGTTTTAAAAAGCAGGATTGAATTGTAAGGGCTCTATAATCTTGTTTAGGGGACTTGCATTGAACATAAAAACAAAAAAATTAAGCAAAACAAAACTATTTAATAAACTACCTTTATCACGGGTTGCTGAACCTTTAACTTGTCTTTAATTTGAATGCTGTGTCGAAAGTGCAGTGACTCCCTACCGGTGATGCAAATTCACACATGAACGTGCAGCTGAGAGAGACTTACTGCTGCCATTGTAGGAAGAGTGTAGATTTTCAAACTGGAAGTCCTGAAAGCTACAAAAGAACAGATTTAAAAAATGCACAATGAGTACTTTATTACATTGCAGGGGCAGGAAGATGTTACAGGTTTGAATGTGGCCTTCGTTAACCTTTGATCAATATTGTATACAGGTCATCATCTCACAGAGGGTTTCCACCACACGACGTTTCGTCACAGGTTCTCATGTGTCCTACATCTGTGGTGGTTTCCCGGGAGCTTATCTCATTAAACGCGTTTGTTTGGATACACCTGTAATTACTTCACTGAGAGGAAACCTAGTACACTCCCACCTGGTTTTATCCCTGTGGAGATCAACTTACCCTGTTCACTTCCATCCACTTATGATCCGGCACATTAAATGTTTTTCCCATAAATTATACATAACATGACTAATCTCCCAGTATTTGTCTGTGGAGATATTTGATATTCAAACACGGGAGCCTAAACTCTGCACTTAGGGTTAGGTTAGGGCCACACCTTAGCGGTGTGTAATGTAAATATGAGGCATGCGATTCTTGCTGTTGCCAAAGCGCAATAGTGCAACCTAATGTAGAAATCCTCATTTGCGTGAACAAACCAATGCCTTGCTTTTCAGGGTAAACTCTTGCACTTGATCGTGCATGGAGGGGAAAAGTTCTAACAACTGCTGGATTATAGTTTTCCTGTTAGTAAACCTGTTTGGGCTGCTCACGCTCATTCTGATTCTCCGAAAGCGAGCAAGCGAATTGTCAGTGAATTCACATACAAGGATAAACTAAAAGCTGAAGCTCAAAAACGAAATCGACTCATAGTGCCAAAGACATTCTTGAAACTGAAACTTATTGATCGATGCCTTATAGATCTATGGTTCAGACGTGGTTAGATACGAAATAGAAAGAGTACATCGCGTCGATTAAAAAGTCAGGAAACAGAAGACTTTACAGTTAACTTGTCTTAAACTCAGTGGGCACACCCTACAGACAGATAGACAGAGGAGCTCCCGCCTAATCTCCACGCTGACAAAGTCACACCGCAAAACAGCGTAAATAAATGACTGACCGGTGCTAAAGTATAGCTTACCTGTCCCGGAGACAAAACTACTGAGCCTGAAGTCAGACACGAAGGTAGATCGTCACAGTACAGCGAACTCTACAGCTTATAACTACCAGCTGTTTTTCTTGCGCCTCCCACGGACGTCAGTTTTTTGCAGGGTCGTTCGCGTTTTGAGGTGCGTTCGCGGAATGTCGGCCAAGGCATTGCTTTGTTCCACTGCAGAAAAAAAAAAATTACCTTATAACTCAGAGTCAAAATTTTGAGATATGCAGGTACATTTTATGTCTTGTAAAATCTATTGTAAATTATAAATATATTCTAATGTTTTTTTTTTATTTTCAATCACTTTATTCCATGAAATTGAACATACACAACGTAAATTGTAACATAAAATGACATTATTTTTGTCTCCATTGTTTTTTAATTAAACCTATAAAATCGAAAGTAAAACATAAATGCAGAATATGTCTTTATATAATTGAATTTTATTTTATCATTTGGATGCACGCGTGCGAGCGACGTGACGTAATCGCGTCACATGATCACATAAGCTAGGGGGAGGCTGCAGCTGCGCTCTGAACTACAATACCCATAATTCCGTCCGCTCGTCAACAGCAACAGCTAGGATGTTGCGATAACGGTGGAAGCCAAAGATTGCTGTGGTTGCAGAGATTATACCGCTGGGCTGAAACCTCTGTCTACTGTTTTGGTAGATGTCAGAGTCTGTGATTACATATTCGCAGCTATAACTGCGACAGGCGGAGTCTTCAGTCTACTGTCGATTCGACGCTTGTTTGTGTTGATGAGAGGCTTCATCGCGCTAATGCGTTAGCCAACTAAAATCATAGTTTTTTTTTATTTATTTATTGTAAATGGAAGCAATTAAATAGCGACACGGTCAGCTAGCTATGTGGCAACAAACGGTCGCTCCACTTGGCTGAGGATGGAAATATTTTTGCTGGCAACGCTGTCAGACAAGTTACACGTCGGTTACATCGCACCCGAAGACATTATCTTCAGAGGATAACCTGGATAACCTTAACGTACACGAAATGTCATAGCGCGTAAGTAGCTAGCATTGAGCTAGCCTAAAAATGGCTGGACGAGATGGAGATGGACCGAATGTTATCGCCGTCAGCAGCAGCCGACCGTGAACAGCTGGATTGATAGCTAAAGAAATACTTTCTCCGGAGATGCTTTAGCCTCCTGGGTGGTGTAATTCACTTACATAACAGTTAGTCGCAACGGCTCTAGCTATCACCAACTGTCTTGATCTGGCAAGCAAATGGGAAATTTGCCACCAGAAACCTGAGTTCTCACAATATTATATATCATAAAGGCATCACTACAGGCTCCACATAGACTCGTTAGGGTTACAGTCTGAGCTGCTTTATTATCTATATCACTGCAATAATTGTGCATACAAGGACCTACAGCTCATCTGAAGCCGCAAATACCCCTGTCATTTTGACACTATGAGGAAGTTCTTTGATTCCCGTCGGGAGTTAGTCAGCTCCGGGCCTGGTTCTGGAGGAGGAGGGAGCAGCTCGGGGTCCAGCCACGCAGGCGGCAATTTCATTGGACGAGCCTTTACTGTCGGGCGACACCAAGTCACTGTTGAAGAGATAATTGCTGAAGGTAAGAAAGGGTTGCAAAGACCAGATGATGCCATTTGTTTGTTTGTTTTTGCCCGTTCTCTTGTCTCCTGATATATGATATGTGTCCTGCATGCCCAGTGCATGGGTCGCATAACAGAGATGCAACCTTGTATCATTCCCACAGGGATAATGGAGCTGTGCATCTATGTATTTCAGGTACATAAATGCTAAACATAGGCAAGCTACTTCATCCAAACTGTACTCTGACTAACACACATGCATACAATTTTCTTTTAGCTCTTGTGAATCAGATGAGTGATTCAAGCAGGTGGAGATGTACCTGATGTCAGGCATATGTGTGATTTCTTTGAAATGAAAGGTTTACTGTCAAAGAGATTCTGTATTCAAGGTTTTTGTAAGAACAGCCATTGGCAGGAAAACGTGGAACATCAGGATAATATAATGGGTGCTGTATAAGAAGCCTGAAACCTGACCACTAAAAAGTAGTTTTAACAGTTATGTTAAACCAATACATTTAGTCTGAGTGTGCATTTCTAATGTCCAGTAGCAAGTGAATAGGCTTGTGTGAACATTAGCTGTGTATATTCTGTTGTAATGCTTGCATTAATCTATTCTTAAAGTCTCTTGTCTAACTTAGACACCCCTTTATTCTACCAGGAGCTCTCTGAACCAAAGACTGCACAGTATCTATGCTTTTAATCAGTTCTGTTAGGCTGCCAGCTACACGGCGAGTGCCCAGTCTGCATATAATACAAGAAAACAGTGCAGGACAGCTCATCGCGATGTCAGCTTTTACTGTAGTCACATAGACGCTCCAGACGTGGCTCTAAACCCTCAAACTAGACTGATGCTCTTGCAGATGTATAGTACCATACTGCCATTACACATGATGAGCGAAGGATGCAATGTAAGCTGTGATGTCTGCCTGAAATTGATGACTCCACAGCTAAACTCTGCACAGCAAATTTGTGGTCTGAGCTATACCAGATGGTTAGGCCTCAATGTAGGCCTCTACATAAACCCCGCAGCAATGACATGACTAATAGATATTATGCTATAAGGCGGTGCCATTTGGTGCTGATTGTGCTTTTTGATGTGAGAATATACATGGATAGAAAGCTCGACAGTTGCTGAAGAATTGAGGCTTAAAAATGAGCACGTCTGCTAAATGTTCAAAATCATGGTATCCTGATAAGGTTCATAAGATTGATGTTTTGATTTTATTTTGAATGCACATTTTAAATGTGTCGTTTCTCTGCATCATGCAGGTGGCTTTGCAATCGTGTTCCTCGTGAAGACAAACCAAGGGGTTCGTTGTGCTCTGAAGAGGATGTACGTCAACAACGAACACGATCTCCAGGTCTGCAAGCGCGAGATTCAAATAATGGTGAGTGACTGAGACGAAACATTTCTCCACAGACTTTCACTTTAAGCTGTCGTGGTTTGGCATGCTGGGTAAAATCACGTAAGGCAAGCACAAAAAAGTCCTTGAGAAGAAATCCACAGATGCCTCATTCTGTCCAAAATAAGTAAGAGCAATGCACACCCTGCAGCAGGCTTGTTTGGATTGTTCTACCACATTTGCCATCCTGGTACTTAGTGTGCTGTTTTTCATTTGCCTTTCATGGTTTGATATAAACAACCAGATTAATGGGCTGTTTATTTCTTAATGAATTGTTATTTTCTAAGCATTTATTATTGGTAAGGTATATTTAAAAAAAAGGATGGGTGTTTGACACATCTCTGATCACATGAAATAACATTGATCTGCATATTTCTGCTATAAATATGTTATACATAAAGATGTTTACATTACTCTAAAGTAAAGATTTCTAGGGAATAGATATATTTAGTATATAAACAGATATTAATGCCATGGTAGCCTACCACAAAATATGAATAGTCTATTATGGGTCTTGGAAAGTTTGACAGCATTTTTGATGGCTATCCTGTATTTGTCTTTGATGTTAGAGTCTGTATAGTTTTCCGTTCAAGGCAGCACTCCAGAAAGAACCAAGGAAGAAATATATGGCAACAGGTGTTCAAATTATTAAAACATGGCAGATTGTATAATTAAACAAACTTCATAGAATTATTTTCATCGTTGGCTTTATTTTGCTTCTGAAGCCAACTGACCTGTCTTCCCCATGTGATGTTTGTGTAATGTATGTATGGTCGGAAGGGTAAGACGGCGCTGGCACGGCTGGCAGCCTTAACCCAATTTCCTTCGGGATGAATAAAGTATGATCGATCAATCAATTAATCAATTAACTGACTCCAGTATTCCCTGTGAAGATGGGGCTTCCCCAGCATTCAGGGATTTCGTCACATCTCAGTCTTTCTCGCTTTGTGTCTCGCACACTCTCATTGAGACACACAAACACACTCATACACAAGCAGATGGTGCTTCACCTGGGCTGTACTACTTGACTTTTTTTTATTATTACATAATAGAGTTTAGATTTCAGCTCTCCATTGACACTGCCCCTGCAGATGAACGTCTCATACTACATCTCAAAACGCTGACCTTATCGAATGAATGGGTTAGCTTCCTTTTATAGAAAGAAATGGAAACATTTTGTGTTTGTGTTCTTGCAGAAAGATCTAGTTGGTCACAAGAATATTGTTGGTTATCTGGACTCCAGTATCACAGCTATGGGATCGAGGGACGTATGGGAGGTGCTTATACTAATGGATTACTGCAAAGGTGAGTGCTGAAAGCGAAGTGAAACCTCATGCCTTGATTATTGAAAGAATTTAAATTTCTGTTGGCCTTTCAATTTCAGGATGGATTTGTTAGAGTGCAGTTGTGCTATTAAATGAATCAAAACACGATTACACGATAAGTCTGAAAAAAATTGTGATAGAACATGCAGAAGTTAAGGTAAAATCAAATACTTCTTTAGTTAATTTCCTCTGTTTTTCAATGTGCTGCCTAATTGGATGGTATTTTGCAGGAGGTCAGGTGGTCAATTTGATGAATCAGAGGCTGCAGACTGGTTTCACTGAAGCTGAGGTGCTGCAGATCTTCTGTGACACCTGTGACGCTGTTTCTCGTTTGCACCAACGCAAGACGCCTATCATCCACAGAGACCTTAAGGTGACACATTTTGCCACTGACACTCACTCTAAAACTGCAGCAGTTATCTTTTTCTCTAGTTTGTTTGATTTTTTCTTTTTCCACAAATGAACAACTTCCAGTCTCAACTGGAGTCAGGATAACTGCTATTGGCTTTTGCATAAAGTTTTATGCAGTTTTTGAACCTTTAAGTTTTGAACCTTTAAAGCTCAGGGTTGGGTGCACAGGAGCAAAGTCAGTTTAGGCTCTGTCCCAGCTTTTTGAAGTCATATGTGAACAGCCAGTAATTCACTGCTATGTACCCTCTGCTTTAAGAAAGAACAGTTGGCCAACACCTACTGTCAAGATACTCCCATCCTGGCACCGTCCTTATATAAACCACACTAGTGCAGGCAGATTATTTTGTGGAGTGTGCGACATGTCAGAGGAAAATGTGGAAAATGTTCCCTGACTCAAAAGAATTTGGCATTAATGTGAGAAAATGGCCTAGAACAAAGTATAAAAGATTTCAAACTGGCTGTTTGTTTTAATACAAATATTGATTGATTCAATCATTGGTACACAAGAGAACATGCACAAATATATAGAGCTATTAATATTTTACTCCGTTTTTAAGCACTATGCTGTGAGTTGATTGATAAAGAGAAGAAAAAGGTCGTTTTAAAAATACTTCAAATAACTTCCAACCAGTCAGCAGCTGTCTCATTAGTCTCTGGTTACTGTCACTCAGTAATTATATAGAATTATATGGACTTCAGTGTATTACAGATTTGCTTTTGATTTATTTTTTTGTTGTTGTTGTGTTTTTTTTTTTTTGTTTTTTTTTTTAGTGATAAAACCTCAAAAATAATGTGTGACAGAGTCTTTAGAGCATATTGAGAGGAACGTGCAAGTTTTGAATGTGGCTACAATCTGAAAGTCATAATGTGAAGGTGTAGATTATAGATGCAGTGCACCTTTATTATTATCTCAATCTCAGATCTTGCAAGAAACAAAGGCCGTTATTTGACTTGGCAGTGTGGCTCATCGCTTACTGCCAAAATTATTCCTTTCACGATAAAACCCTGTATTGTCCTCAAAGCAAGCAGCCCTGCACGTCACTGTGTGAGTTACGTCTTGTATGTCTGCAGGTGGAGAACATCCTCCTGCACGATAAGGGTCATTATGTGCTGTGCGACTTTGGTAGCGCCACTGACAAGTTCCAGAGCCCTCAGACCGAAGGAGTGGCTGCTGTGGAGGAAGAGATCAAAAAGTTTGTGCCTCTTTTCATCCTCAACTTTCATTCATTTGCACATTTTCTAGGTAATGTGGCACAGAAACTGACTGCATTTTTAAATTCCTAAGCAGCTTCATTGTTTTGTTTTTTTCTTTATTTCATTATGTTTTTGAACTTTCTCAATTTTTCACCGTTGTGTGGAATTGAAAGGTTCTGTTTTTAGGTTTAATTTGTGATATCTGAAAGCAAAACTCATTTGTTTGCATTTATAAGCACATTGGGCTAAGCAAGTTATCTTTTTTCAATACCTCACTAAAAATCTGTAGCTGTCCCTTATTGCAGGTATACCACCTTATCATATCGTGCTCCAGAAATGGTGAACCTCTACAACAATAAGATCATCACCACGAAGGCAGACATCTGGGTGAGTGAAGATTGCAGACT